ATCGGATAGAAGAAGGACTCCTCGTGGTAAAGAAGGTATCATCGGATGAGAACCCAGTAGATCCCCTCACGAAGGGATTGTGTAGGGTTAAGCATTTGCAGCATGCGAGGCGCATCGGGCTGAAGAATGATATTAGTTTTACAGATTAGATAGCTATTTATGGAACTTGTAAAATGTAAATTGACATTTGATGATTAAATAAAAAGTTGTTGTTTATTTATAAGTAAGGTGTTGCTGTCTTGTGTCAATTATTTGCTATTGTTTCAATTTTTTCATGTTTTGACTTCCAGAATAATTACTTTATTCAAACTCTCCACGGTCAGTCATATGTTGGAAGTAGATATGAATTAAGACTGTCATGAATTGGGTTTGTAGATGTCTAAGATGTTAGACATAGCAAATGGTTGCTACAACATTCATGAGTGCTCATAAGTTCTGAGTATTGGATTCAACCCACGCTCACTTGTATCACTTCATGGAATTTATCTCGAGTGATCGTGAGATGGTAATATCATACAAGTCTTCAAACCTAGATATATATATGAGTTGTTGATTATGAGTTGGTTGTGCATTGATTGTATGAAAACGCATCGGTAACTCGATGTTATAAAACGTGCTTTTGTGTATGATTCAACAAGTGGTTAGTACAAGCATATGAGTCGAAGTTTATCTGTTCCTTTTAGTCCTTGGAGGATTAAAAGTGATATATGGGCCCCTCGATGATTTTGTTTTGACCTATGTATCGGGCCCGGTCAGAACCAAATTGATGTGTTCAGTTTAGTTCTATGTCAAACAAATCGGAAATCGGGAAACAAACTGCTAGACAATAAGTATGACATTGTTCCATGTATTTGTCCGGCTGATATCCAGAATAGAGGATTATATGATCACTTATCTTAAATGGCGCATCATCATCTTAGTTCCGCGAGACCTTGAAAGAGCTACGATTGTTGGTCGGTTCCTCAAGTCATACTTGCAACTATAGTTATTAGATTTATCCAAGTGGGAGACTGTTGGATAAGGTGTCTAACTCCATAACTATATTTGGTATGTACTTGACCCGGCTTGGCATGGTCCATTTGGGTTGCTCGGCATCTCAACATTTGGATAGACAAAATGAGAAAAAGGACACTTATGATTTGTTAATATATTCTAATATATTAATATGAAGTCATATTATTTAATTAGTATTGATCAATAATTAGTTTGGAATTAATTTTGTGATAAAAAAGAGACTAATTAAATATATGGGGATTGATTTGTAAATCATTCATTCTTATGTAGTGGGTTTATGGTTCATGATTCACTAGATTGGGCTAGGACCCATTGGGTGCTCCATGGATGCTCCATGGAGGTTATAACCCATGGATCATGGGGGAAATGAAAATCCATGCACATTAGGGTTTACATGGTGTAACCCTACATGTGACACACTATATAAGCAACCTCATATGGAGCAAAATCGGCCACTAATACAAGACAAGGAGGGCTAGCCGATTTTTTGAGTGAAAGTGTTCTTCTCTCAAGTTATTCCAAGAGTTTTGGTGTTGTGTGAAATATTTGAGGCATCACATTTTGGGTGCTAGGCTCACAAGGTCTTAAGGAATCCAAGCTACAAGAAAGGTATGCCATTTTACTAGTTTTTTATATTACAAGTACCCCATGCCATGCTAGTTAGGATGAGAACCTTGGAAAATCAAATTTGCATGAATATTAGAGAAAACATAGATCCAAGGTTTCTAGGGTTGCATGTACACCATAGGATTGTTAGAATGCTCAAAACCCATCAGTTATATGGTATGAGGTATGATGGGGGAACTCACTAAGCTTCGTGCTTACGGTTTATAGTTTTTGTTTCATGTCCTTCTTCTTCGAAGGGAAAGGAGCCGACTCGGTAGCAGTGCATCACACCATTATTTTCCGCACCATGATGTTCTTGGGATTGTACTCTGATATTATTATTCCATGACATGTTTTATGACATTTGAATTATGGGTTTGTGGGTTTGATATGATATTGATGATGTTTTCAGTAAATTGTTTTATAAGTTACTTAAATAAAAAACAAAATTTTTGGTCTTGAAATTTGGGATGTTACACTTAATATAGAAAAATGGAATCTGAGGTTACGCCGTGCGTACGTGGTCAACAGCCCCGTATTTTGGTCAAGTGGAGGAGTACGCCCATCGTACCTCCAAAGTATGCCCCGTATACGGTTGCTGAGTTGACTCGGCTAGGTTGACTCGGTTGGGTTGACTCAGTTGGTTTATGTATTTTGACAAGTTTGACCTTGAGTTTGATCAAGTTTGATCTTAAGGGTATTTTTGGGATTTTGATTGTGATTGGTCACTTGGATGATTAGGTGTCGGTTGGAGCTGAGATTCGGAGTCGAGACCTCATCAGCTTTTGTCTAGTTTGTAAGGTGAGTTTTCCTCACTGTACTTACGGGTCGAAGGCACCAAGGTCGGCCCAGAGGATTGGATATCCTGTTTTATGATAGTATGATATTATGTTGTGTAGATCCGTTAGATTGGTATCCTGCTGAGTATGAGTTAGACCTACATGGTTATATGCTAGCTGCTAATATATGTAGACTGGTAGATCTGTAGGACTACCTGTGATTTCGGTCTGCATAATTATTTTCCTGTTGAATATATTTGTTATTTGTTATATGTTGACATATTGTGTGTGGTTGAGGTTGTACTGCTTTGTGTTGTGGCCAACAAACCTTGGAGCATTGCAGATATGAGATGAGGACCGGGTAGGGCATGCCAGACTCATACTGAGGGATCAGGAGCATTCCAGATACGAGCTGAGGACCGGTTGGTATGTCAGACTCGTACTAAGGGCTTGAGGGTATTTCAGTCTCCAGTTCGATGACTGAGTGGACCCTCTGTATATTGGTATTCCAGTCCGATGACTGATGGGGCTAGGGAGCAAGCCAAACATAAGTTGTGGGCCCCAAGGGCAAGCCATACTTATGTTGTGGGCTCAGGAGCAAGCCATACATAAGCTGTAGGCCCCGAGGGCAAGCCAGACTTATGTTGTGAGCTCAAGAGCAAGCCAGATATGAGCCGTGGGACCGATAGGAAAGCCAGACTCATACTATGGGCTCAAGGGTAATCCAATCTCTTAGTTGTGGACCAAGTACATGCTGTTATTTGTATATGTTATATGTTTGTGTGATGGTCCTTTGGGGGAACCCACTAAGCTTCGTGCTTACAGTTTCAATTTATTATTTCAGGTGCTTCAGATGGTTGTGGCAAGGTGAATGTGTGACCGTACACATACTTTGTTTACGACTGATTGGATCTTGGGAGACTCTGATTTTAAATAAGGTTTTGGAAACAATGGTTTTGTAAACACTTTTTTAGTAAATGGGTTGTTTTGAAAAGTTCAAATTTACTGTGATTTTTTGTATGTTACAGGTTTCTTCTATACCGTTCCCTCCATTACCTGCAAATATACCACTTCCAGTGATCTCCTTTAACTTATAGCCTGAAACTACTGGTTTCCTGGAAATCATTACACAGATTTCGATCAACAAGAAATATCTCGATTTAGATCTGTTAACAACACTTTGTATATAAAAAAGTATGTTCGTCATTGTTTTTGAAGGAATCATAAAGAAAATCGCATCTCGAAGAACATTGTATGATTGGTACTTCGATTGATGTAATTTTGGGGAAGAATGTGGGGATATGGAGTACCTCAGCTTCAAAACCATCTAGATCTTATTTCCAACAACATTTTCAGCGACATAAAAACCTTTTTCAGGAAGAATATACAAGACCCACTTAGTTATTTTAGTAAGGCTGCTCGGAGTGGTCTCGTCAAGCCAATAGGATACCTCGGCAACTCGTTGGAAATGTGCCGCTGAGAGAGCGTGTATGGTTTGGGGAAAATAGATAGAAATAGGGAATTAGTTTTTTATTACAGGGGGTTGCAGTCAACAAAAATGGAAGAAACTCGTATGCGTCCAAATTCAGGGAGAAGATAACAAGTTTTTCAAGATTTGACATAAAAGGTCCCTAGGGTTTGGTCTACTAACAAAATGTACCCCCTTAAATTCTCTCTACAAAAATAGTTTTTGAAATTACAAAATCAACCCTTAACTTATAAATCCTAATTATTATTCTAGTTAAATGAAACTTTAGTTAAAAAAAATAGTATGTTTGAATTGTTTATTTTTTATATTAATTATTTTAAAAAATTTGCATGACAAATGTGGCAACCCACGCCATGTAAATGACAAAAATTAGAGAGAGTGTGGCAAATCCTAGGTGGCGCTGATGTGGACCGTGACAAGTGTGGCACCACACCCACAATCGGAAAGAGTTGAACGAATCTTGATTTTTGTGTGTGTTTGTGTGTGTGTGTATAAGAGAGAGAGAGAGAGAGAGAATATGGGGTGGGGTGGGGTGGGGGATAATTCTTTTTTTTTCTTTTTTTTTTTTTTTTTTTAAGTTAAAATGGTATTAGAATAATTATAAAAATTACAAAAAAGAAAATAAGATGGTATAATCGTTTTTCAAGTTTTTTTAGACTAAAATCACGAGAATTTCTTGATTTTGGACCTTACATGCAAGTTGGAAACTTTTTGGATCCTATCCATAATTTTTCGCAGACTACAAGGACCAATTTTGCAGTTTTGTTAAAATAGTAGAAAAAAAGGGAAAATGACATAAATGCCCTACAAACTTTCTAGGGTTTACCCATTTAGTCCCTAAAGTTTTTTTCGGGCTTTATAGGTCCCTAAACTATGATATTACCTGCTCTTTTAGTCCCTGTCAACCTGTAATAGTCGCTTCAGTGACCTTTTAGACCAAAAAAACTCACATTGTGCCCCTATAGAGCCAAAAAAATAAGTTCAGGGATCAATTCGTAACAAATAATGATTTAAGTGAGAGTTATGTTATAAAAAATGTAAATATTAGATAACTCTATGATGCAACCCTCTCTTTTATGACTTTTCAACTTAAAAACATAACAAATGATCATATGTGTAAGGACGCATCTCTTAAGATCCGGATAGAACAAGCACTAGAACAGCCTCTCCGGAAAAGGTTGCCAAGGCTTGAGGCATTGCGTTACATACCCATCTATCAGAAAGAAGCTTCCCATAATGAGGCCTTACTACAGTTTTCCATGTTGGATTTCAATTTACTTCAATCCTTGCACAAAAAGGAGCTCAGCCAAATCAGCAAGTACGTAACCTAACAACTTATATAGTTTTCTAATGTAAATGGACAGAGAACGAGTGAAACCTTGGTAATAATATTGGATAGACCAATCATATTGATTAGATCAAAGGGTACGTACTTAATCAATCACTCCAATTAACTAGTGTCCTTAATTTGTTAATCTACTCATTTAATTCTTCTCACAGCGGGCCATGCACCTTCATGTGTCTAAATAGATGGTGGAAGAATTTGGATTTAGAAAACAGGCTACCTTATGTTCGCGGCAGATTGGTAGAAGGCTACTTTTGGATATTGGCAGTCTATTTTGAGCATCAATATTTAGATGCTAGGATTTTTCTGATGAAAACATGCAATCTTGCTATCATATTGGATGACACGTATGATAACTATGGTACATACGAAGAGCTTGAGATGTTCACCCAAGCTGTTCAAAGGTATGTGGTATGCATTAATTACTTATAATAGCCAACGATACGTTTTAGTAGTTCCCATAATTCTTTAAATTAAACAACATTTTGACCATTTTAATTAATGTATATAGATGGTCGACAAACTGCATCGATACACTTCCTGAGTACATGAAATTCATATATCAAGAACTTTTGGACGTTTACAAAGAAGCAGAGGAAGTACTAGAACCGAAAGGAAAAGCATATCATATTTACCATACCATAGAGATGGTATGTAATATAAATATTAATTATTTACTATTACTATTAAATTATACTTCTATATCTCCTTGTATACAAATTTAAGTGATAATGAAAATAATAATCTAATTATCAAGTGTTTCACTCATTTGTCAACCAGGTGAAAGAGTGCACTCGAAATCTCCTAACTTAAACAACATTTTGACCATTTGATCCCCGAACTTATTTTTTTGGCTTTATAGGGGCACAATGCGAGTTTTTTTGGTCTAAATGGTCACTGAACCGGCTATTACAGGTTGACAGGGACTAAAAGAGCAGGCCATATCCTAGTTTAGGGACGCATAAAACCCGACAAAAACTTTAGAGACTAAATGGGTAAACCCTAGAAAGTTTGTAGGGCATTTATGTCATTTTCCCAAAAAATAATGAAAATTAATTATCTTAAGGGTATATAGTTTTTATGGTTTGGACAAAGACAAATTCCACAATGAAAATAGTGAATAAAAACCAAATCTACAATTTTTACAATGTTTGGACCGTTAGCAAACAACTGATAAGGACCATTTTTACAATTTTATCGTTCTAAAAAATAAAAGAGATAATGACTTAAAAGGGTAATATATTTTTCGATTTGTACACATTTGGTCACTGAGTTTTTTTTCGTCCACATTTACCCCTTTAACTTGTTAAACTGTGTATACATTCAGTCCTTATGACCGGCTCCTCCAGGTTACCCGGTAAAAATGACTTAATAGGGTAATATATTTCTCACTTTGTACACATTTAGTCCTTAATACTTTTGTACACATTTAGTCCTTTTTTTTTTTTTTTTGCAAAATAAGTCATTTTTTTGTACTTATGAATGATTTTTTAGTTTTTTCTCACGAAATCTTACGTGTGACATTCATTAATGAGATGTATGGGGCTTTTGATGCTTATATCCATCGCGATCTCGACTACATGGTTGCTTAGGTCATGTGTTCTGAACGTCATAACTTCTTCATATGATCTCGGATTTTAACGATCTTTATATCCATGCGTTCGTATTTTAGTCTACTACAACTTTCATTTAGATTACTTCCATTTAAAAATAATATATTTTTACTTACGATTTTTATATCCATACGCGGTGACGGATTTAGTATGGTCCCGGTGTTGCACTGACAACACCTGTTTTTTCTGTTCGCAGCGGAAAATTTTTCGCTTTTTTTTTTAACGTTTGTACCTATTTTCCATGTATCGGAAACACCTATTTCATCTCGGCAACACCTACTATGTATTACTGCGTCTTCCCCTGTCCATACGTTTTTTATGAATGCATGTATGTATGTTTTTTTTTATAAAATCGTTAGTAAAAATATATTACATTTTAACGGGAGTAATCTTAAAGAAAGTTGTAGTAGACTCAAAAAATGAACACGTGGATAAAGATCCTTAAAATCTGATATCGTATGAAGAAGTTACGATGTTCAAAATACAAAACCTAAGCCAAACCACAAGACTTATGCAACCAAGCAGTCGAGATCGCATTGGACATAAGCATCAACAACCCCAAGCACCTCATCAATGATTGTCTCACGTAAGATGTCGTGAAAAAAACCTAAAGAAATCATTCATAAGTACTGAATGAGTACAAAAAAAGGACTTATTTTGAAACAAAAAAAAAATGTTAAGAACTAAATATGTACAAAAATATTAAGGACTAAATGTGTACAAAATGAAAAATATATTACCCTATCAAGTCATTTTTTCCGGCTAACCTGGAGTAACAGGCCATAAGGACTGAATGTGTACAGTTTAACAAGTTTAAGGGATTAAATGTGGACGAAAAAAAACTCAGTGACCAAATGTGTAAAAATCGAATAATATGTTACCCTTTTAAGTCATTATCCCAAAATAAAATAAGAGTACTATCACTTTCAAAATACAAACAAGTTTCCTTTTTTAAGGTTTTTGTTCATTAATTATTGATTAGTATTAGCACTTGATAAATATTCTAAAAACTGTTAATTATTAATAGTTAAATAAATTTGGCAATATGGATAAAAGATGTTCATTAATTTTAATCCTCCACTTTTAGTCATTTTGTGAATAGTCATTTTCATCAAACTATTCTGATAGTACGTAATTTAAAACGTCTAAAAATTAAAATGTAATATAGTAGGAAACTCCAAAAGAGTCGTGATATTTGTAAGCGACTTTGGATTGGAGAAACGTAGATCCAACGTGTCATTTTTATCGATAAATCTACCCCCCTTCTTCGTTTGTTAAGTCTCTACGCCTCAAATTCTTTTTTAAGTAATCGTCCACGTTGTATGAACTCAAACTTACAAAATAAAAAAAATTTGTATATATGATTTTTAAACATCAAAATATTATATTTATCCGACCTAACTTTATATGTAATTTTTAAACGTCAAAATATCATATTTATATAGTTTAATAATTAAATATCATATTTTTCCTTTTTAATTCCTTAAAATATACTTGCCCAAATCTATTTTTTAAATATTTTATAACTTTTTTTATATTTTAAAATTATTAAAATAAAAAAAACTAAAAAAACCATATTGCCCTTACCTAAATTGCAGGAACTTCATCTTGCATTTGTGACCATCTTTTGTTAACTGTAAGCTCTGTCGCCATGTTTCTTTTTTCCACTGGTTGTTATGTCAATTGTTTTATTATTTTG